AGCATATGAAACGTAAAGCTGTGAGGCGCAATAATATTTGACTGTACGTAATCACACGTATAGACCTTACTGGCACCGATTTATGTCATCAATACGTTTTCAAATGGAAACATGCTTTTGATCTGCAGCTTTATAAAGCTCATGAACGTCTTTTGATGGATGTTGACGTCTTGCTGTCTATGTGGAGAGTTTCCATGTCGGATATCAAAGAACCTTGTGGACTCACTCCAGCCAGAGAGAAAGAAAGGATGGAGGCCCACAGGAACTGCTGTGGTCTGAGAACATCATCTTGTCTATATTTATTTACTTGCTTTTTTTTTTTTTTTTTGAGTGGAAATATACTCACATATCCAAAAATAATTAAATAAATAAATGTGTATAAATAACAATAAATAAATAAAAACTTTGTCCAGGTGCAGGAAAGAACTGCAAATTAAAGTAAGAATTGAGATTTATTTTCGTTATATATCAAGTAGAACGCTGCACAAAGATGTTTTTGAGTTAAGCATTCTCCTAAACTGATGCTTTCCAGCCTGAACCTACTGATTTGATATAGAGGATGCATTTCTGCCAAACATTTTACAAAACCAACATTTCTGTCATGAGTACTTTTCCGAGTGTTTGACATGGTAATGGATATGACAATATGTTTGGTCTTGGTAGAATATATCTCCTACACTGCTGCTGTTACTGCATAGCAAGTACAGGACTTGCTACTGCCAACACGTAAACAAGTAAGACATGCTACTGCTGTAAAACATAGCACACGTGAATGACCTGTATAGCTATACAGGTGGAGCTGGGGAAGGTGGAGGGTTTCTGAAAGCGCACTGCAACTGCTACAGCAAATGCTGACCAAGTAAGGTTGAGCATCAGCAAGTTCATTGGCTACTGATACAGCAGGAACCAATCAGCTGTTCCCTATAGAGAATGATGTGATTGCAAGCAAATTGAGTTAAGGACCTATCAGCCTGCACCATCTAGTTTCATGACAGAACTTTGTATTTGATTACAAGCTTTGGTGTTGAAAATTATCTTACTTGGTCTCTGAGATTCAGAGCATTCTTTAGATCCTCTCCTAATTCACATAAAAGTTCTGTTAGTAATGTGAGCTTCGACCTGTATTACTTGCATACTTACTGTGCAATACTGTATTTTATGCATTTAAAAAAATACCAAAACTGAATGGATGTATGATATTCTGCTGATTATTGAACATACATTGTTCCACAAATATGGACTGCAAATTTTACTGAACCAGTGCAGTCTGATTTTATCACCCCACAAAACGCTATCCCCATTGGACCCATAGTTTTTAATGCCTGTTCAGAAACAGATGGTAATAGTAGTATTTCCAGTTCTTTTGTAACAGTTGTAGATATCAGTTAGAAACATGCTAAGACAACAGCCTAATCAGTAAACAATACGCTAAGCTATCAGACAAATCAACTACAGTACAAAATATGTAAAGAGATAATCAGGCGCTGAATAGTGTAACAAATCAATAAAAACGAATAAAAAAAAGTTACAATTTTTCCATTTAAGTACAAATAACAGACTTGAAACTACATTTCTTATTTCCAAATATGTGTTCCTCATATTCAATCATAAAAAAAATCAATAAAAAAAATCATTAAAGAACAGGAATTCAGAAATTGCCTCAAGATTTCCAATCTCAACACACAAAAAGCAAGTTGGTGACTTTGTTCCTCCATGATTAATTAAATTCCCAGAAATGAAACCTCACTTTGAGGCAAAACATTGTTTCTTTCATGCATGGTGCACTGTGATGTGACTAGCCAGGGTTAACGTGTCTCATTCATCTTTAGTCTTCCCAGCCTCATCCCTAAACCATAGAGAGACAGATGTGCCGAGGGGGAAGCCCCCTGCTTCAATTCAATTCTCTTGCCAATTCCAGCAACCCTGGGAATTCTATGGGAAACCATGGGGAGACTCCCTCTTTCCTCACCTTCTTAGGCTCTCTCTGATCAATGCGTTTCTTTTCGAAAAATAGCTCAGAGAGAAGTCACTTTCTACACATGGAGAATTATCTCCATTCATCGTCTGTGGTGCGGAGTGTATGGATTACAGACGATTAATACCTTCACTGACTCATCACCTGGGGAGTATCCACAGGGGCTTAAGTGTGTAATGCACAGCAGACATCCAAGTGTCTCCTACCCGCCTCGATCCACCCTTATTTCACATGCATTACCATGTTTCCGCCTCAGAGGGAAAAATAAAAAGGTTTTGTAACAGTAAGATATAAAGTGACTGTTTATCAAAATTGACTTTTGTATCTTACAAAAGTCGCAACTGCAAGTCACAAATACGATACACATTTTAATTGTGAGATATTAAGTAACATTATTATATATCATGTCAAACTGCAAGATAGTCACATTGCGAGATTTATGCGATTGAGACAAAACGTTGCAATTGCGAGATATAAAGTAACAATTATGAAGAAGGAAAGTTGGAAATATGTGTAATGCAAGATTAAAGGTCATATTGTGAGATAAGTCACATCGCGAGATTGCAAATTAAGTCACATTGTGAGATATCACCATTATGAGACAAAACGCCAATTGCAAGATATAAAGTAACAATTATGAGAAAATGGTAGCAAATATGTGACAAACTGCAAGATGGAATATCACAATTTATGAAAAATTGCAAGATAAAAATGAACAAAAACGAGAAACAAAGTCGCAATTGTGAGACAGTTATGTTGCAAAATATCAGCATTTATGAGATTACGGGGTTTATGAGATAAACTTATAAAACAAGATATAAAGTCATTGCAAGATATTATGTCACATTAAGAGATAGCGAAATAAGTCACATTGTGAGATCACAATTATGATAAATAGAGGCAATTACAAGAAACAGTCACAATTGCGATAGTCATTTGTCACATTGTGAAATGTAAACCCAACTATAAGAAACAAATTCGCATTTGTAAGACATGAAGAAATTACATTTTAAATTTGTTTCCCTCTAGGCAGAAAAGGCTTTCATATATTAGAGATAAATGGACCAATTCACAAGCTTGCTGTGCAGGTGTGCGTCTAAGGTTGAGCGGTGTCATAACCTAAAGGAATTAGAAATAACATGGACAACTAATCCACAGTGCTTTGTCTTTGACCTCAATGGCATAGCATTTAAATGCTCCAGCTGTTTGACCTTTCTGGCATGAATGGGAGTCTGGTTCAGCTGATTTTCCATCTTCCTAAGAGGCACCGCAGAAATTAGAGCTGTGATTACTGGAACACTAAATCAGATGCAGCCTTTTTCGCTCTGTTTCTGTGTTGACGATCAACGACACCGTTTACACACATTCCAATAAATTGCATTAGCTGCTACCTGTACAAGCGTTGCATGTTAAATTAGCATGCGTCATGGAGCACCTAGACAAATTCTTTTCAAATGTTAGATGGATGACTCTTCCAACTTATTCTTTCTAAAAACTTCTTATCATGAAAATATTCCTAAACTTGGAAAAAGGCAAAAACGAGGAAAAGAAAAACATCCTCCTGACTACAGATGGCACTATTGCGTTAAGTTGAAGGCCAGTTTCGAGTCTTGCACATCACTCACACATCAAAGTGATTGACAAGTTCTTTTACAGACCACTTACAAGCCTTTAATGACCTTTACAAGAGAGGGCATTGACTTCTTCCATTCCTAGTTGCCTGGGAGACAAGGGTCTCCACATGTAAATGATATTCTCTCTCAAATGAACCATCCTTGATGGTTCCTCAAAAAGCTACACTTCAATGCAGCTATTCCTGTAAAAATAACCGCTCTGTCAGTCTCCCTCCGCGGTCCCCAGGCTTTCGCCGGTTCTGCGAGTTTGGAATGCGAAATCAAACGCAGACACATCCACTGACCAAAGTATTAAAACTGATGAGTAAATGACTTTCACCGCTCCCACTTCAGGCTTTCAAGCTCCTTAACAAGTCAGTCGGTCCATGAGAAAAAAAAAGAAAAAAGAGAGGCAATAAAGTCAACGCTCAACTTTTCCACCGAACTGCATGTGAAATTATGAGACAATTGCCACGACTTAATAAACAAAAGAGATGGAAGTAGCAGCTGACCCGGCACGGGTGAGTGAGAAAATAACGCTCATTTAGTCCCGAAAGCGATGTGACCGTTACAAATGAGTGCAGTAGGAAACCAGACCTCCTTTTCACAACATCTCTCAATCTTTCCCACTCTCCCACTTGAGAAAAACCCAGATTTATGCATTGAAAGTGCTTTTGTTTTAATTACTGGCGAAGCTTTCCTGACGGTCTTGCTGTAATTGAGGGGCACAATTCCCAGTTGGATCGTTGGGAGCGAGAGACTGCCTGCTGCTTAGCCTTCTTTTAATGGGAATTTCTGTTGCTCCTAAGTATTTCAGCAGATCCCAGCAGCCGCCCGTGGGGTAGCGTGAAGCTGGGGCTCTATCGGTTCTTGAAGTCTTCTGAGGGCACATTATATGACCATAGTAATGGCGATTATTATCCTCTTTATTGCCATTATCATTCAGTGGTCCAAGGGTGGTCTGAATGGGATTCTAATCGCTCATTAAAATAGCAGCTCATTAGTAGCTGAGTGATTGAAAACGACTAGCCAAAGCATTTCTAGAAAACAAGACAGAAGAAATGATCTTTGGATATCAATGTACGAAACAAGTAATTGACCAGCTTGGCAAATTGAAAACAACCAGCCAAAACATTCCTAGAAAACAAGGCCTTTGGATATCAATGCTAGAAACAGATACTTGATCAATGAAGACCCACCAAAATATTGCTATGGTTAGTCAAAAAATGCAGTCCTTTATTTTGCTAAAAAAAAAGAGACAAGATTCTTAGTTGATCTTCCAGCTGGGCGATTAAAAAACGACTAGCCATAACATTCCTAGAAAACGGCGAGACAGAAGGAATTACCATTGAATGTCAATGCATGAAACAGATAATGAATGATCAATAAAAACCCACCAAAACATTGCAACGGTTAGTCAAAAAATGCAGTCCTTTATTTTGCTAAGAAAGAAATGGGTCAGTCATGACATCAGTTTCTAGCGCATACAGTAAGCACATTTCCATCTTCTCACAGTTTAACCTCTAATCAAACCCTTAAAACTATCAGAACTGACTGAACTAGAAACATTACACAGATTTTCCTTTTTACGCTCACTTCCGTCGCAGACGCATTTGATTCCACCACTCGTCCCAATGATAAGCTCTTAATAATAAATAAAGGAGTGCTGCCGGTTGACTCAAGCAATGTGGAATGGTTCGGGTTGTCTGAAGCCTACCAGGAGACCTCAAAACAATACAAAGATGGATGAACTGATATAGAGGTGGTTGGGTTGGGTGGTCTGGTCTGTGGGTGGTGGTGGTGGAGTACTCCAGTGAGCAGGGAGAGCTGCCATGGTGTTGTGGTGACAGAGGTTGTGGGAAGGGGGGGACAGAGCTGAGGTTTAAGACATGGTGATCTGCATGGACTCCAACATTTCTTCCACCGCCTTCACCGAGCATTTGTTCTCCTTCTTCCCACGGCCTGCCATCTAGGAGAAACAGAAAGAGAGGGGTTGATGAAAGGACATCAGTCCATTTACAATGTTTTTGGACGTATTACGTTTTAACACAAACATTGTGGAGCGTCAGACTCCATAACATGCTGACGCTAAAAGACAAGTATTTGTGTACGATTCCCATGTCTTGCAGGAGCTGCATTCATAAAACACTTCAGACTGTTTCTAAGAGGGTGAAGAGTGAGTAAAGACCATTGTTACACATCTTTGAACCTTAAGGCTCTATTCCGGTCTGCCTAAACTAGGAGATGAACCTATTTTTTGAGGGGTCCCAGTGACATTAACCCTCTGGGGACCAGAAACGCGCCGGCGCGTTTTGCTAGTTTTTTTTCACATAGCAGAAAAATAGACTTAAAGTACTACCATCATTTCTGTTCATATAGAGTTAAGAAATATGAGAAAATAATCTGTTAAATGTCTACTTTTTTATGTGCCCACATACAATCGAAATAAAATATTGTGCTTTTGTAAAATAAAGAAAATAAACAGGGTGTGCGTTCTGCCTCTCGGTCACCGTGAACTTTTTTTCTGGAGCACGTCTCTAATCTTCAACACAACTCAGCTAATACTATTCACCCAGCCATAAGCAATATATCTTTTAAATCATTTGAGTTTGTACTTTTAAATGATCCGATTCAAAACTAAAATTATTATTCTCCGTTTATGTCATCTATATAAAAAGAGAGACGTGTCAGCCCGTCTCATTATCGTTCTCTCAGCTGATTATCTCTGGTAATGTGACACGCCCACGGAGAGCACGCGCTATTCAAACGCAAATATGTGAAGCAACACATTGAGACGCGTTAACGCCCATAAACTCTGAAAACACACATTATTTTTTAGTCAGATTAATCTACTGTCGTCTTGCGCGGCTATATGAGGAACAATCCTGGGACATTTACCACTGGGTTTATTTTCACTTCGAGGATGAACAGATTCAGCTGAGAAGTAAGTGTTTTTTGCAAGTGCTTTGTTCTAATCGCGATATAGAATAACGTAGTGTCTGTAAACGGAAAAATAGCATACTGTTAAATGTGAATCATGTTTGTGTGTGTGTGTGTGTGTGTGTGAATGAATGAATGAATGAATGAACGCACAGATACGCAGACTAAATAACAGACAACATTTCGTTGACTCGTTTTGGATAAAGTTTTTACTCTAAAATAGACATCAAATAAGCTTTTTTTAGGAGTTTCTGCTCATATGTTAAATATATAGTATGTTTTGTCAATAAACTAATCAACTAAGATGTTATAGTGTTTGTTCAAGCTATATCAAAATAATGAATCCTCAACTTTGAAATATGTATGATCAAACTGAGACATTTATGGAGAAAGACAATTTTCTTTTCAAGATGTTTCCAACTCTAACTTTGAACTTTGAACTGAAATAAAACCATGTCTATATGGTGAAGGGTGTGTGATAGAAGTGTCCAGACGTATGCACCCAGTATTTTCCTTATATAAATCCAAACAATCTAAAAGCCATTCTTTTTTAAATCTCCTCATTCTTTGTGCAAGGCTCCTGTAATGATATGGCCTGATAGCACCTAATAGGGCCATTATGGGGAGGGTCTTTGTCTTTCTCAGGTGTGGAATGCCACACATATTAATGAGAGATCAAGCCTCCTGCATAAAGCTTTCTCAAACAAAACACGTCATTAAAAATGTAAAAGACTTTATTGACTTATCTGAATGAGTAGTCAGGATGATTCTCAAATAGTTTTGGAGCAAATATTCTAGGCTATGTGATACAATTTTCAAAAGTCTTGTGAAGAAATAATCAATATGTGTTTTGTGGTCTTATTTCAGCAACTTTCATTTTTATTTTTTTCAATAACCACGCATAAACATTATTCTATTAAAAATACAAACATGTACATACATGTTGCTCAGATCTCATGGTAGCCAAGTTTGTGCTAGTGAATTTACACCTTTGCCATTAACATGTTTATAAATAACTGAAAAAAGCACAAATGTCAGTGCATGTCAAAACATCCCAAGGGCCCCAAAAACACTCTGGTCCCCAGAGGGTTAACCTATATTTAATTAAAATAAACTACATATAAATTACCATTATATATGTTGTTGTCACTGTACTAAAGACTATATAGAATATGTATGTATACTGTATATTGGTCACTGACCAAAAATCTAAAAACCAGAGATATACTGTTATCGAACATCCGATGCCGCCCACACTGCTGAGAGCGACGGTTAGATTAATATGTGCTGTGTGCTTTCCTCACAATAACAAAATAAACACAACAAAAATTGAGAAAACAGCAAGCATTTTAAAGCATAAGAAAAGCATCTGATCATTGCAATGTGGATGTTTGCACAAGCTCTAAGGCACTCCAGTAAAGTCACGTCACGTTTATTTATACATCACTTTATACAATAGATAGCTTAAAATCAAGCAGCTTTACCGTATTAAACATGAAAAAACAGTGTCAGTGTCTCGTTTTATCAGAAGTACAACTTCATTTTCTACTATAAAGCAGCTCTCCAGTGTGTTCTCACGGACGTCTGACCACGACCGACTAAACAGGCCAAGTGAACCTCGGAGCCTCAGCGCACAACTACCTATTACGTAATCGCCACGGACCAATGGCAGTACAAAGGTATTTAGCAGCCAAAGCGAACTTTTCAAACTCCCAAAACGAACTTCGTTTCAGCCTGATTTTGATCTAAATGACATCACATTAGTTTGTTCTTCGATTTCGCTTGAAGTATATCAGGGCCTTAAAGGTATTCACTTTTTTATAAACAAGTATTTTAACTTAAAGGGACAATGTGTACTTTTTTAGGTATTTTATTATCTAAAATCAATATTTTTATTCATAAATATGTCCTCAATGGTGTACAAATACCTCTGCCAAATATCTGAATTATCCTCGTAAACGAAGAATTTATTATCTTTATGGGACGGGTAGGTCCACGGAGGCTTCCATGTAGTTCCGCCATCTTGAAAAACTATAATAGCAGAGAGGGACAAAAAGTACTAGGCCAACACGTTTCCACAACGCGTTTTCGTTCAGAGCCAGCGTGACTGAAAGCAGCAGAAACGGAGGAGCAAAGCAGTGAGAGGCGCTTGTCACTGCCACGGCAAGTTTCACAGTCAGTAATTCACTGTAACATTCGTTTGATCGTTGTGTCAAGTTGCAGTTTGTTTGAAATGACAAACCTGTTCACCCGAAAGAACACTCGACGAAGTGCTATTAGAACACATCCTGTCGTAGCTTTTTGGTACATAACGGCTACCGTAGATACAACACGCATTTGAAAAACTAGGCGCTGGAGAGCACAATTCGTTTGAATGCAAAATACAATTTCACCGCTAGATGGGAGACATTCCTACACATTGTCCCTTTAAATCTTAATTTAACTTGCAACTTTTTTTTTCAAAAGAATGGCTCAAAAATAGTTTGAATAGTGATGACGCCTCTGCCTGCACTAGTAGAGTAATTGAGATGCCACCGCGGGTCTCTATTCCTCTCTCCTTGTTTGCCCTATGAGAGTAAAAGGATTGGAGGGATACTACAGCCTAATGAGTCACCAACTCACACGCTCACTCACAAAGACCCATTAGCCGACAGACCCCATGGCCAAGCATACTTACTCGCTCTTGCCACATCCGCTGTGACTCATCTGCTAAGAGTCCCTCTGCCTCGCTCAAACTGGACAAATTGAGCATATCGGCCAAAGCTCACTTCTCTATCCTCTCCCCCAGCAATTGACATAATAAACCAATCCACTATCCATTAAAGGCTGTGCTCTCCATTTCTCCTCATTAGTCTCATCTGACGTCTGCAACATATCTCGATCACCACTGCAGCTCCAGCAGAGGAACCAATGCAAGGTGTTTAAGAAGTCAAGGTTTGTCAGTTTAGCAAAGTCCCATTAACCCTGGCTGGTACATGCTGGAACTACACCAAAAAAGCTGAACAGTGACACCTGTAAACTGAAGTGCTTTGCTAGCAGGTTAACTCATCCAATCAAACCATATACATATGAGATTAATCAGATATAAAAAGTTAATTTATTCCTGTGATGTCACTACTCCAGTCTCACAAGTTTCACATGATCCATCAGAAATCATCCCAATATGCTTATTTGATGCTCAAGAAACATTTCTTATTATTATGTAATGTTGATGTAATGTCAGGTGAACTCAGCTGGATCTAAATGCAGCGCGTTTAATAAATCAAGATAAAGGGCAGAAGATGAAGGAACAGAAATCCAAGGAACAGAACTGACGACAGACGATACATCCATAAATGGATAAGAACTAACTTATTAAAAGAAACTTTAAGGTTTAAATACACAGGGGGTAATTAGCAAACAAGATACACCCGGGAACAATAACAGTTGCACTGCCTAATATTTTTGTGGAAACCATGATATATTTTTTTAGGATTCTGTGATGAACAATTTATTTGAAATAGAAATGTTTTGTACCATTATAAATGCCTATTTTGAAGCATTATAAATGTCTTTACTGTCACTTTTGATCAAGTGAATCAGAAATAGATTATTTTTGTCTGAATAAAGCTTACTTTAAAGCAGCACTAAGTAGGAATTCCGTTTTTGTCAAACGGCGACCCCTAGAGTCGCTGTGGAGTACTTGTACTGTCGTGAATAGCACTCACGCAGAGATGGCTCGCACTCACGGCCGGATCCCCTCCCCCTGTACACCGGTACCTGTTCAGTAGGATGGACGCTGTAACGAGTGGAAATAAGGTATGGCCCCTTTAAGAGCTGCGCGCGCCCAACACCACATGTATACGGCGCCGGGTTATTTCTGTTTGATGCTCATTTTATCAGAATTTTATCAGATCTGTTTTTTTGCCGTAAAGCAATTCGTTACCTCGCGAGACCTGATATCACACGATACTTCCTAACACTGAGGCCGGCGGCTCGCCGGCCCAAAGTTGCAAGGGTGGTTTTGCGGCTCACAGGCACCAGGGGGGTGCGAGACGACCACCATTCAACACGAAATCAGTAATATAAACATTACAATGACTCCAAAGCTGTTCGGTTAAGGTAAAAAAGTTACTTAGTTCACCTTTAATGAATATACGATATGAATTTTTTTATACGTTTAAAGGATTTAATTTTAAAGGATATTTTCCTAAAGAGAAAACAAAATGGGCTCAGATGATTAGCTTAGGTGGTTCTCACAAACAAATGTCAGATTTCAAATTGCGCCAGCCGAACAACTGCCATTGAGATAAATGGGAATGCTAACAGACAGCTTTCTCCAGGTATTCTAGACCTCCTTGGAGGAAACATCTGCATCGTAATGGGCTGTGGGTGCGCTTGTAGAAAGAAGGAGCCAGCAATCCCACTGAACTCATTGGGTAAACAGAAAAAAAAAAAAACACAAAGCATGGCCGAGAGAGCATGGCAGTGCCGTTTCTGGGCTTGGCAGTGCATATCTGTGTCCTTGCAAGTAATTCATGGGTCCCGCTGGACATGTACACATACAGAGAGACAAATGTTATTTTCTTACTGGGAAACATAGCTAGATTAATAGAGTTGATATGTGGTCTAAATGCCAGGCTGCCGTTCCCAGCATTCTCTCAAAAACCCCACATTATTGTGCAAGTGAGCTGTGTGGTTTCTCCTGAACGATGGATTCCATCACGTTTTAGACGAGGGCAAAAGTCAAGGGCATCTACAAACGGCACAGAGGACTACTCGATGTTCAGCAGCCCATGCATATCATGCATTTCAAAGCAATTAGACATGTACACATGCTGACTCAGTGCCAATATTTGCATTGATCGTGGCTGACACGCGACCAGGTAATTGCTCACTTGTGAAATTAAGCGATATGCGTGTGCCTTTTGTTTCTGAGTGTTAGATAATGGACCGACCCTGTCATATCGCTCAATCTGCTGTGAGTGAGGGCTATGGCATTACGCATCAGAAGCCCTGTGTTGCACCCTAATCCATCAGCGAGGTGAGTCATCCGTCTGCATGACTATTATGAAACGAGGACTGACTCAGGACTTGACAGCCGCTGTGGCTGAGTGATATCAGCGATGAATTATTAGCTCAATATTGAGAGAGAGAAGGATAAAGTTAATGTATTTATGCTCAAAGTCAAAGACAGAAAGCACTAAGAGGAAAAAGGAGTGAGTTGAGAAGAGAATGTCCTAACAAATTCAATTCGAACAGTTGTCCCAGCACATCAACCGTGGCTAGAGAGTGACTTGCCTCTACCATCAAATGAAGGTATGCAAACCACCAGAGGTTGGAGGCAACGTTAACCTCCAGAAGACCTCATCAATCAAAGCTACTCTGCTAAAGGGTGACTCAACTTCTCTTTGAAAGACCTCAGAAGTTCTTCAAAGCAAGGAGTACAACAGGTTATGTTGACCTCTCAATACAACTTGGTATAGTGAACGAGGTCAAGGATAAATAGCTTATTCTGAATAGCCTTAGGTTAATTCTTACCTGCATATTCAAAGCCACTTCACCATATCTTCTCAACATTAACAACATCAAAGCCTCTGACTCATCTTGTGTAAAAAAATATATATCTACGTATCATATGTAATACCTCCCAAGAACCAAGTGTCAACAGCAGATATCTTTGTTGTTTTGACAAAACATTGTACAACACCTTCTCTGAAAGGGATAGTTTACCAAAAAATGAAAATTCTGTCATCATTGTGTCTAACCCTCATGTTGTTCCAAACCTGTTTGATTTAATTATGTGGAACAAAAAAAATATTTTGAAGAAAGGTTTTGTCCATACAATGAAAGTCAATGAGGTCCAAAACAACACTGGACCCAATTTAACTTAATTGTATGCATGGGGGATGGTGAGACTTTTTGAAATGTTGCACAGTTACTATCAATCAGGCAAATCAGTCCGAACATATTTTTTATGTTTAAAATGAAACTACATGGAGCATGATTTCTGGCCTGTAAGATTTATAAGGGACTACCAGGCGCAACGTGACAAAAATAGGAACCAAGCACCGTCACAAAGTCTTGACGCATGATGCTGCTGACGCTATGGTTAGGACACAATGTCAGAATGACTGCCATCATAACCAATGACGTTCTTGTGAGTAAAGTCTCTCCAGAGGCATACGGATCAGTCAATAGAGGAGAAAGATACAGAAGATGATTGTGTAAAAAAAGGCAGAAGGAATGAAAGGAACATTAATATCCATTTATTGGGTGGTCTGGAAATTCCAACAGAAAACCAGCCAAGTTTTTAATACACCCTCAGGGTTGGAGACCACAAGGTCGATGTGTTACTTTTGAAAGTGGATAACAGTCCTTAAATATTCAATTCTATAAAAGACATGTAAAAAGGCAACAATGCACATTTTATAGGTCCCTTTAGCATTACAGGTAAAAAATGTACACACAAAAAAAATCCTCTCCTCTCTAGAATACAAATGAAAAAATGCCTCAGTATTTTTTTTTATTCATACAATGAAAATCAGGTCCCCACTGACTTTCAGTGCATGGACAAAAGCAGTTCTTTAAAATATCTTCTTTTGTGTTCTACTGAGGTAAGTCATACAGGTTTGGAAAGACAAGAGTAAGTGAGTAAGTGATGCCAAGTTTTCATTTTTGGGTGAACTCTCTCTTTAACATCAAGATCCAGTTCATTCTGATCAGAATTTGGTCTTGTGGCGTACATCTGAAGAACCCCTCTTTGGAACTGAGACGCCAACCAACAAGTCAAAGGGAGCTCCATCTAGAAAGTGTGACAAGAGTCCTCCAACCGCACAGGAAACACTCCAAGGGTACGCTTGTGTGTGTGTGTGCGGCCCCTGATGGCCCCACTTGCTGACTAAGGGCCCCTTTATTACACTTTTAACTGTCAATCCTTAAATAAGCAATATATATCACCCTGATGGCAGTTAAGATTTCAAATAAATCTATAATATTTACATTGTGTACCATGGCAACAGCATAAACCGCTTTAGTGATACCATGCACGCTGCACTTCACTTTTTCCTCTCTTCTGCTATCATTATTGCCTTCCTTTGCAGCCGTGGTGTGCACGCTGCATATTTTCCCCTTGCTAACTCCCGAGCCCTGTGTTTGGCACCAGCTGTTATGCTTCATAGGGATGGTGGCGCTTTAACATGCAGACATAGAAAACAGCTGCGTAACACAATGCCAGGCCCTGTGGGCTTAAGTCAACACATTAGCTGCGCTCTGCCCAGGCACGCGTGTTCAGCACAGACCCAGCGTGAAGGCATGGCATACGCTCACTGTCTGGGGATGTGCTCTCCTGTCTGTATATCAGATTGTGCCCTGCAAGAGAAAAAAAAGAACGAACCCGGGCAGCCAAACGGCATTGCCAGTAACTAGGGCTGGGTGGTATGACTAGGTAGAGATTCTGCTATACATCTGTGGCAAGATTTAAAAGATCCAATGACAAGCAGAAAACAGTAATAAGTGATTCAAACATCACACACAAATATTTTTGATCGATAAATACAATACCATTCAAAAGTTTGGGGTTGGTAGTAATTTTTTATGTTTTTGAAGCTCATAAATGTTGCATTTATTTAATCAAAAACACAGAAAAATACTATAAAACACCTTTTTCTCTTTTAAAGTATTTTAAAATATCATTTATTCCTGTGATGGTCAGGTCATTTTCAGCAGCCATTACTCTAGTCCTCAGTCACATTGATCCATCATAAATCATTCTAATATGGTATCTATACCCTATATACATATATAGCCACTAAATGGCAACTCTGTCAAAAATGAGATAATGATATTGAACGAACGCTCTCCGCACATAGTATACATTCATCAAATACAACTAAATCTCAGCCTCAGTCCACTCAGAAATACCGGTCAGTTGGCAGAAACCTCTAAACACCACTTACTTTTGCCAGGATAAGCCTCCAAGTTCACAGAACCAATCAGAACAAGCGAATCGAATCATGTGATTTCAAGATGAAGGACGCCGTGCGTATGAGCCGGCTTTCAATTGTCGAGCTGCAAGTTTTTAATCTTGATTATCCTGAAGAGAATTTTTTACTACACATGATGTTTAGAAGTTCATACTAGAAATGTACATTTTATGACAATGGTTTGTTTAGATTTGAAAAATATCAGTTTAATGTTTACTAAATGAACAACTTAACATTTGGCGTACACTTTTTTTTAATACATAATTTTATATATATTTTTAATATTGTATATAGATTATTATATTTTAAATATATATTCTATATTTTAATTTATTTTGAGCGTAGAGTATATGGTGTAGTTATTGTATAAATTCTTCTATTTGTTGTCGTTATCCAATAAAGTTTGCTGTCATTTTGTGTCATTATGGTTATATTGTGTGAATTGTTTTTTATATATATATATATATTTTTTAGCCTTTTACCTTTATTCAGAAAGGACAGTGAAGAGTGACTGGAGAGAAATAGGGTGGAATCGGGAAATGACTGCGGGTCAAATTCAAACCTGGGTCCTCAGTGAGCACTTGGACCTGAATATGATATGGACGTGGCAGTAGTGATTTTGCAACTGTTTACTAACTGTTTACTTGTCCAAACAGGTGGACTTAGAGGTTTTTGAAAAAAGAAAAGAAAAAAAAGGCACACATGGACTTAGCTGGTTTTGCAGCAAAAGACAATCAAATTTGTTAGATACCATTTTCAATGCCATTAAAGTGGAATTTCTAAACCTAAACATAGGAGCCTGATTAAAAAAAAAAAAAAAAACCTAATTTAAAAGTAAAATGTCAGATGGACTTAGAGGTATCTATACGTATATAAATATAAAACAGAACATTTTTGGGAGAGATTTAGGTTATACCACCCAGTACCACATGCATTCCTCTTACCTGATAGGCTCTGCTAATCTGAGAGGTGGCCCATGCGGCGTATTTCACATTGTCCTTCTTCACTTTTGCGCTTACTTTTGGGCTTGCAGCAATGTGACTCGCCGACTGCGGGAGAAGACGAAGAGAAAAAGACAACAAACAAGTGTGAGATGGACCACAGTGTTGGGGGAAACACATAAAGATTAGAGTATCACCATTCCTGGAAAGCGTCAATAAAGACCCATGAGATAAAAATCCATCGGCTCCCACTTAAAGCCCACATAATGGAAGGGTGGCTAAACCCTGATGGCAATGGAGGGTATTTTTTAAAGGGTGGAAAATGTGAGGGTTTTGAGCCTGGTTGAGTAGTGAAAAAAAAAAATCCTAGACGCTGTGTTAACGCAGCCTGATGTGTCTCGCATCAGAGATAGGAAAGGCGGTGCTGACAGGACTGGGAGTGTCAGGGAGGCGGCGTGTGAACGGCATAGCGCAACGTGAATCATGCTCTCCAGCCGCTACAAGATCTCCGTTCCACGACCACAAATCCTCCATCTTTAGCTCGTTATTGCTATTAGACCCGCTCAACAGAGCTTGCAGGACTCTGTCGGCTAGCATGAAAGCCCTTCCTCATGGATGTGCTGAAACTTTAACTGCACACCAATCAAACTCATCTCTGTTTCTGGCAGAAAATCCCTCGGCTTCTGGATTTTGGGGTGTGTAAGGTTGGTGAGATGTGGCAAATAGGCCCTGTTAAAAAAAAATTTCGGTCACTCGAGCCACAATCTGTGTTAAGTTTTCATTTTTGTTTTGTTTTAGTCATAGTCTTATGATAAAAAAAAATCCTTTAAATGTAGTCAATATTTTGTCATTTACTCCAAATTTAGTCAATGAAAACAACATTTTAGCAGACAAGAAAGTCACAAATTAAAGCAAATATTCAAACATTTTATATATTTAAATTAGGGCTGTCAAATGATTAATCACATCCAAAATAAAAGTTTTTTTTACATAATATATGTGGGTGCTGTGCACTGTGTATAATTATTTTGTATATATATATAAATACACACACATGCATGTATATTTAAGAAAAAAATATTATTTATACATAAAATATTTATATTTATATATAATATAAATTATATATAAATCTATATACAGTATATACATGAAAATATTTCTTAAATATATACAAGCATGTGTGTGTATTTATATATATAAAATAATTATACACAGTGCACCCACATATATTATGTAAAAAAAACTTTTATTTTGGATGTGATTAATCACGATTAATCATTTGACAGCCCTAATTTAAATATGTATCAACCAGCTTTATTTTAGTATTATTTATATACTATAATATTATTTATTAATACTTTGAATTAGCTTTTTTCACTTTTCAATTTTAGTTTACGTTTTAGTTATCTTTTTATGTCCTCTTGTCATTATTAGTTTTGGGATGTTTAAAAAATATATATTTCTATTTAATTTATTTAAGTTTTAGCAATTTTATTTAGCAACATAAACATTTTATTTCAGGTAGGTACCAAAGCAACATTTTTAATCAAAATTTTTCCTCTAATATTTATATTTTAGCTTTATTTCAATTATTACAATTATTTGTAATAGTTTTAGTTAACAATAAAAACATGTGAAAACTGTACTTGTTGCGAAAACCTGTTCAACTTAAATTGAGTTCACTTCGAATAATTTGAGATTTGAGTAGATCTTAGAAAAATTACTTTGTGATAGTAGTTTTAAAATAGTTGACATGACAATGCACATTTTTGGGTTCGTCTTCTTTATCCTTGTTAAAATTTTCATCAGTTGACAAGATCAGTCACATTATCTCAGGTTTTATCTGATGTTTTTGCTGGGTAGTGCTCTTTTCTCTATATATGACCGGGAAACGGGCGATTGATTTTGTTGTACTGACCGTCATCCTTCTATTGCCGGTCTTGTCACACGTGCAAATCGCACATCAAAGAGCGCTGATGACTGTGTGTGTGTGTGTGTGTGTTTGAACAGTGGGCCTGTGTGTGGCTCCCTATGCACCCTCTGTCGGCCTTCTGCCCCTGGCTGGCTGTTTGTGTTCATATGTCAGGAGTCACTTACAAATGATGCATTGGTGTTAATGGACAACTTCCTGTTTAAATAAATACAGATGAAAGGCTTATTCAGCACACATATTGCCTGGACCTTTCCAGCAGAGCCACGTTTGATGGAGGGGTTGCCATTTCTCTACCATTCTTTTATTGTCAAAGGTTTGTTTATCTCTGGAATAAACATAGAAATGCCCCACAAAGGGCTAGTGGTGTTACATTACAGCAAAAAGTCAGATATTTTTCAACACAAGGACTGAAAACACCAACTGCCCCTGTGTGAACCAATCACAGCCTCTGCATCCATTCACGTTTAAAAACAAGGGGTCTCTTACCATGTAAAGGCCGAACAAGGCCCTCATGTTTCTGTTGTTAAGCTTCAGTGCCTGCGCAAAATACTTCCTGGCCAGCTCGAGGTTTTCCAGACCTCCCTGGGTGTACTTTACCTGGGGGAGATGGAAGAGGAAACAGAAAGGTGATGTGTTATTGGCACCCTTAAAGTTAACACGAGAGCTAAATAAACAGAACATGATCTAAATAAACAGGAATTATCCTATACAAGCATACAACATGATGGATGCAGCAAGTCAGAGAGTGCAAAGTTAAAGGGAGTTGGCCAAAGATTTCTGTCTGTTGCAAAGTGACAAAATCAAACCAAATTGATTATATTTAATATTTAAAGGTCCCGTTCTTCGCGATTCCATTTTTCAAACTTTAATTAGTGTGTAATGTTGCTGTTAGAGCATAAATAATACCTGTAAAATTATAAAGCTCAAAGTTCAATGCCTAGCGAGATATTTTATTTAACAGAAGTCCCCTTTCAAAGCATACAGCGAACGGCCGGTTTGGACTACATCCCTCAACTTCCTTTTTTAATGACGTAACTAGAACAGTTTTTTGACTAATCTCCGCCCACAGGAATACACAAAAAAAGGGGGCGTGGTCTTGTTGCGCTCCCACCGAGAAGAAGCACTTCAGCTGCACATGCATCTCCAATTTATGGTAAGAGGCGTGACCTTTCCGGGCAACGTGCGATAAGCTGCTGTCGAATCACAACACAGGAACCGCTGGCACAATCAGAACTCGTTACGTGTTTCTGAAGGAGGGACTTCATAGAACAAGGAAGTCATCGGGCCGTTTTTTTTGGACTGTGAAAACAGCGGTATACAGATAAGTAAATTGTGTAAAAAATACTGTGTTTTTTTACACGCGAAACATGAACACATGTTATATTGCACACTGTAAACACAATCAAAGCTTCAAAAAAACATGTAGATCGGGACCTTTAATGTTTAATGATGCTATGCACATAGGAATGCTGGACCAATGAGATTTTACAGTGGGTGGAGGCAAACCACATTGATATGACAGAAATAGAAACCAAGTGTCTGAATTTTTTTTTAAAGAACAAAGAAAATAACAATTTTAAAGGACATGACCAAGATATGATTAGCTGATGCCAACTTATATATACTGTATATATATATACTTTTTTAAACCCATAAACCTCTTCTTTCTGAACTTATCAACAAAAATGTACTTTTTAAACATTTTAAAAATAAATTATTTAATCAAAAATAAAAACATATTCAAACATCATACGTTTGTGTATATTTTTATATCATTTTTTTGTATGTTTATATGTTTTTATTTGACATTCTATACATTTGTCACTTATTTTCTGAAGGCTTAATTAAATCAACAATTTAAAATCTACTGCTTCAGATGGCATAGTTGATTAACAATTAAACATTATTCTTCCTGAAATATATATTTTTTATCACCTTAATTAAACTGAAAAAAAACATTTGTTTTAGGCAGGAAGAAGAAACAAATTGTACCTCGGCGTATTGTTCACAGTAGAGGTGATTGTGTGGGTTCGTCATCATCAGTTCTTCAAGACAAAAAGCTGCTTTTGCATAACTGCGGGAGTGAAAGAACATGAGAGGGAGGGGGAAAAAAAAAACTATGAAGATCACACATACACACTTAAAACATCTCCCAGTAGCTTTGTGGCTGATTATGCAAAGTGATGCTCAGACTCGTTGACAATCTGGGACTGGACAGTTTGAGGTTTCTCTTTCATCAGCTTTTATTAGGGTTAATGGAACTCTGTGTATAAACACCCATATGGTCAAATGACGAACGGAGCTTTGTAAAAGAGGTGGCGTTTCTGCCCTAGATTCAAAAATGAATGACAATCTCTTTCTGGGTTCTTCATTGACATCTCGAGGCTGTCATTCTCAAAACAAAAGCCATTTCCACATGAGATCACTGCTCAGCCATTGACCTCACACTAAATTGACAGTTTCATGTCTCAGACACTCTCTCCCTTATAAGTATACAACATGGGCCTGCACATTTCCCCATTGCTCCCACCAAAAAAACCAAACAATTTCAAAAAGATCTGCAGGACTATTACGACAAAGCCGCAAGACACAAAAATGAGCCAAATGAATCCAAAAGCTGTGGATGGGGTTGAAAGACTCGTTATCGCCTCGAGTCCCCGACACCGCACAGCTTTTTTAGCTACCATTAGGCAAGCTTTCTGTCTCATTTTGTGCAAGGTCCACACAGAGCCCCGCAATGTACGTGCTCGCGCACACATATCAATTTATCACAACACATGACATCTTAAAACAGAGCTGGAGCACGTCCAATCGGGTTGTGGATGCTAATCTTATGCCTAACAACAACTGGTGGAAAAACCTGCTGACGCAAACAAGACTTTTTTGGTTGAAAAAGGGCATCGCTGTTGCTGACTCGCAAAGAGATGATGAGCCTATCTAGACGTTTAGGAAATGTTCAAGGGATTTTAAATACAAAGAGAGGAGAGAATGAGAGTGAGAGAACAACACAGACCGTCAAAGAGGTTGGAAGAGTGAGCCAGTGAGATCAGGCCACTCAGAAGGTTGAATGCTGCTTGCAATTACCATTTCCTCTCCATAAAGACTTTCAGATGTGCTCCTGCTATGGCGTAAACTGTGGCGGAGCAATGCAAAGAGTGAGAGAGATCGACAGATGGAGACACAGAGAAAGCAAGGCAGGCATCAACCCACATTACTGCTTAACTTAATGCCCACTACCGGAGTATTCAACATACACGGCCGACTCTACCAGTGCTCCATTTATGGATGGTGGTTTCTGCCTCAAAAAAATAAAAAAAATAAAATAACATTTTTAACTGTCTGTATGTGTCACAATGTGACTTTAATTGTGAGAAAGTTTCAAATGAAAAAGTCATTAAAAGATATAATGTAACACTGAGGGAAAAAAAAAAAGAGTCAAATTTGGAGGCAGTCATATTGTGAGAAAGTTATATACAGGAAAAAGTCATGTTTTTTTTTTTTTTAAATAGGCACATTTTTATATTTAAAGTCAAATTACGCAACAGACTCAAACTGAGAGAAAGTCACATTGTTAGAATCAAAGTCAACTTAGGACACAAACTCAAATTGTGAGATTTCTAAATATTAAGTCAAATTGTGAGATATAAAAAGTCACATTGCAAGATGTTAAGTCTAAGAAATAAAGGTGCAATTACCTTATTTTTTTAAAACTTTGAGGCATAAAAAACAGGCTTCCACATCCATCTCCACATGAACCTACAAACCTAAAATGTGTTAGGATGACTGACTAGTTGTCCAACAATCAACTAGCCAATTAGCGATGTTTACCAGTTTATCAAGACTGCTTTCTATTGAGCTGCATCCACCTGCTTATGAAAGAATCACATCTTATTCGTTCCGTTAACATGATCACTCAACATATTTATGCTTCCTTAAGAATAACCAGGTAGCTTTAGACAACCCACCGGAAACCCAGAGAAACCAATATCTAGTTTTTGACAACCCTACCTAACAATAGCATACAATTCACCCAAGAAACCACTTTTCAATTGTCATTGAAAAGAATGATCTACTAGTGGTCAATGTATACTACGGACTTAGTGTAGATAGCTGTGTAATCAGCTGTTTGGGTGGCGTTTGTTTCTCTTCATCTTGTTTTAGTTGGGAGAATGGTTGCCACCTCATTCTCTTGGGAATTTCTCTTTTTCCCTTTTCTCCCATTCTTTCACAGCGTGGAAGAGAGATGTGATAATGCTGGCTTTGCCGGAAGAGGAGGGGAAGGGGAAAAAGTGAGTCTGTGACCTGAAATAAAGAATAGAAAGAGAAAGGGGAAGAAACTAAAAGAGTGACACTGACACGCCTATAGATAAGGAGTTGCCAAAGAATGGTGTGATATTAGAAAAGTTGGACTAAGCGGGCAGATAATCCTCTCACCCCTGGATTTCCTCTGTCTGCAACACCAATAAAGCCCTTCACACAAAACCGTGAGGTATCTAATAAGCGGTGCTCTCACCAAGCGCCTGCATTCCTACGGCCAGTGGCCTCCGACCGGGACAACCAACTTTTTCTTTCTCTCACACACATACTAACACCACGTAGCCCCCCTCATGGACAATAAGACCAAAACAATTAAAGAAGGATGGAGGAGAGGAGACACAGACACAGACTTGTAGTTTCCTACAATCCTGATGCCTGGCAGAAAGTAACCCCTGGCAAAAGAGATATCAGCAGGGGAGCGCAGTCTTATCCCAGGAGTTGGAGAGGGGGCTCAAGGAACAAATCCTATTATGGCCCTGCTCCATGGGACAAACAGACACTGAGCTTTAAGAAGGGCCCCTGGCTGAGACTGGCATTTCACTGTCTTTTACTCCAGAGGGTCTCAAAACTCTACAGCAACCGTCGCACGTCAAGCGAAGGTCCTGAGAATGACCTGCGAGATGGTGGTGAATGTGACCTTATAACCCTCGTAAACATCACATTTTATACGGACAACTTCTGGACATCTTACTGACACATTGGTGACTGATAAATCGATTTTAGCAGATTCATTCATCTTACATGAGTTTTCCCCTACCTACACAACAAAAACGCCTTTGTCTGCATTGGGTAAGAAGAATACAGTAAAGACACACAGGATGCACTGATATTTTCAAATTCTAGCTGATTCCCAATAACCAGATAATTATTATGTAATGGTAAAACCAATAAATGGCAGATTCTATACTATTTTGTCTAAGTAAATTAAAAAATATTTACAAAGACATACAAATTTCAGATATAACTTAAAATAAACTTAAAATATAATGTGCAGTATATCAAATTAATATTCACCTTGAATTTGCTAAAGATAACATTTAACAGTGTTATTAAAGTATAAGTCTAAAAAGATTAACTTTAAGTGAGCATTAGATGATGGCAAAGTAATCTAAATGTAAAAATAAGACAAAAGAGCAAGTACAATTAAATATGCAATATTAACTGATATTACTAAATAAATAAATAACTAAACTAAATATCTTAATAAAAGCTGCTGATAAAGGAAATTAACAGTCATTCTGATACCAGTTTTATGTTACTGTTTTTACACACGATGTGCGTGTTAAAATTAATCTCTTTTTTCCAAATCAAATTCAAATTCCAAATCAAAACCCAGTAGGCAGATATTATTGAAGCCTTTGCCATAAACTATGCCTTCTTTTTTGAAACATGACTGGTATATGTTCTAGTTACGTTATTTCTGTATGGGGGGGCAATTTGACCAAGACAATTTGATTAACCCTCATGTCCCATCAACTTCTTGCAAGAAAAAAAAAAAAAAAAAATCCACAAAAGAAATGATGTAAGAAATCATTACTCATGCTCATTGATGTAGAGTTCTGACAGCTCATGCCATGCTTCCTGGTCTCCCACAAACCTGCAAGACAGAGTAGTGGTAGTTAGCTCATCAGAAAGGCCACGGTGGACAAAAGGGGGGTTAGGGAAAGGCTTGAGGGCCAACTCAATCAAATGCAAAACCCATTTTAATTAAAAAGTGAAGGGGAAGGGAGGGAGGGGGTCTAAATCCTCTTGTAAAACACTCACTGCTCCAGATATTCGTTGAGCTCGCGAATAGCCTCACTGCTTTTGCCCTGCGCTCGCAGGATGGAGATCTTGCGCTTCCTTGCTGCCTGTTGGGTTGACATCAACAGAGGATTAGGGCTTTATTGTCTCAAGTGTTTGCGAGCAACAGAAAAGAGCAAAGAGTGAAAGAAAGAGGCATGTGTAAATGATCATAGTATTGTAAAAGCTGAAGGAATCTCCACAATCCCCTATAGGGTTCTGGTGATCAGACTGTGAAGACAACGGGGATGGGACCACAATCTAAGTTGGATTCCATCTCCATCTTTCGATCAGACAAATACTGATTTTGAGAGTTATAGAAGTAAGAAATTGATTTAGATCCATTCATCAAACATTGTCAGATTGTCACCAAATAACTTTACGGATAGCATTTTGGCGATTCTGGTGGTTCTTGTTAACAAAACATCCAATTTCCGTCTTAGAAATTTGTGACCTAGTCTTATATAGCCAGACTTCTGAATTGTTGCAAAATATCCTCATTTGTGCTCATTTTAGCAAATATAAGGATTTAGCATTTTTAAAATTAGAATTTTAGATTTCAAAAATCTATTTTAGTTTTGAATTAAAAAAAAGTAGATTTTAGATGAGACTTTTAACAAAAGAGATTTTTATTGCGGTAATTTACAGATTTGACCTAAAAAAGTTAAATGTCATGTCTAGAATTCATATTTACAAAACTCAAATTCAAAACTAAATTATACTACATTTATCTAAAAGTAAAAAGCACAAAATTCTAATCGTTCAAATATTCCAGCTCCATAAAAACATCTAGACAGATGTTTGAGAGACCAATGTACAGAAAACACTAGAAAAACAACAACAACCAAAAAAAAACCCTACTTAATCATACAACCCGTGAGCAGAATCGTGGAAGTTATATGGTATGCTCTAAAATAGTTTTACAACATCACCCTTAAAGCATCAATCCTTTTTTCATGAATTCTGAAACAGGACATCATGAAACAGGAGATAAATTAAATGTTGTCAGTTACTGGACAGAAGTGCACGTACAGTTCTTTTTTCCTCTCCTGAGGCAGTGTTATAATTTAAAATAGTGTTACGATTTAAAATATGCTTTAAAATAGTCTCACAACATCACCCTAAAAGCATCAATCCTTTTTTCATGAATTCTGAAACAGGACATCATGAAACAGGAGATGAATTAAATGCTGTCAGTTACTGGGCAGAAGTGCACGTACAGTTCTTTTTTCCTCTCCTGAGGCAGTGTTATAATAAACAGCCTTGCACCATCAGATTGTCCAATATGACGTTTCCTTGAAAGCATATTATTACTGCATTCAATTCGTAAGTAATATAGCAGCAGATACCAAAAAGTAATGTCTTTATCAGATTAGAAAACGAGCATCAGCGAGGATGCTGCTCACATTTAGAGGAGCAAGTAAAGACCCATTTCAAGTGGTGAATATAACACATTGCCAAAGAGCCACGGGCCATATGCATTCACATAAACTTACATAGCCCAGCTCACATCAGCCACAAATAACGTCCGCCTTGTTCCGACGCAGAAGTGACCTTCAGGCGGATTAGAATCTCATCAATCTGAATCAGAAAGTATTACACCAAGTCCGACGACTTTTCCAGGAGTGCCTCTTTTTCCCCTCCGCTGGTGAAAGGAGAGCAAAGAGCAGAAGCTTTACCGTTAGAAGTGCCCCAGATATTATTTATGAACTGGCACTTGATAGAGTGGGTCTTCCCTACTACCACAGCATGGACCAAACCCCATCAAGCCGGGCATGAGTCACGTCTGAAAGGCCATAAATCTGGAACTGCTATGATACCACCGCCACTCCAAATCCACTTATCCATCAACCAGGCGGCCAGACGAACCTGCTCCACTGGCTGCTGGAGCTAAGCAGTTGATGAACTGCCAAACCCCTACTGTACGCAAGTCTGATAGTTCTTACTGGATCAGCGGAAGACATGGTTTCACATTACCGGGGCTGCAGATGACAGGTGAAATAAGGCTATGGCTACAACCTCAAGCTGTTTGGATTATTGCACGAGTTCTGTATCGCTACATAACGTTTCCCTCCAAAAGTATTTAAAGAAACTGTGGAATGGAATCAAACAGCAATTCCAAATAGTTTAAGCTATCAAATTTTATTGTTAATGTTCAGTTTCTGCCAACAAACTGATTTCTTTGTACTCTGCACTGAACAAGGCGGAAGGCTGTTTGCGACCACAGGTTATTTACTCGGCCCCCATATCTGTCTTTCGTTTCCTCTTAGCGCACTTGGCACCGACAGAAACTTACAGAGGCTGGTCTTACGAAACTTTATTAAACAATGAGCTATTCCAAACCATTCCAGTCTCTCTATGTCTTTCCCTCCCTCTCCCTTCTCTTTCGACGTGATCCAGGAAAGGCCAGCATCTCATTTTCATTCTCTTCGTGATTCTTTCTTCTGAAGCATTTCTGAGTGGCTCTCACCGTGAAGGACCTGGCTGCTTCCATCAACCCCTGGCTCCGCTTTCAGACTGCCGTTGAGAGCCCACCTCCAGGGATTTCAAAGGCAACCAGCGTTCCCACAGGGTGAAGAGGAGTTGACTTTCAGCACTGTGGTGTACCGACACGACCTGACTTAAAAATTCATCCTTAAATAAAAAGAATTAGCTGCTATTGGTTTAAACATATCCAGACCAAATCTAGTGTCTCAGCGACGGATATCAAAATAAATTCTAAAAGTCCAAATTCATTAGAATATCCAACTCTTCGGAAGCAGCCAAAAATTCCCTCGTTTACTCATCCTCATGTCATGTATTCTTTTGATTAATGTTTCAGCTGAGTTTGTTTATACAATGAAGGTCAAATGGATGCAAAGCAACACTGGATCCCACTGACTTTCATTGTAAGGAGAAAAAAAAAGCAGAGACATTCTTCAAAATAAGATTCTTCGTTTTGGGATCCACAGAAAAACGGTTTCTAAAAACTATGACAAAAATGTCATTGGACCGAAATATAGTTTCAGTTCAGAAAAAAATCTGTTTGACCTTTACAAACGACATCTCGTTCTGCACTGTAATTGCATGTAATTCTAGAGGTCAAACTCATTAGAATTGTCATTGACCTCATTGCTTTCACAAGCACAACCATGTTTATCCTGCTGGATTACAGGCAGAGGGAGAGTGCTGAAATTCTGTGAATCGAGTAAGCCTACTGGGTCTATCAGTGTTAAAAAAAACAGCTTGTTAACATTACTTGTTTTCACTGTTAAGAAGTGGGTATTCTGTTAAGTGACCAAAGATAGATAGATAGAGATAGAGATAGAGATAGAGAGAGAGAGAAGAGAGAGAGAGAGAGAGAGAGAGAGAGAGAGAGAGAAGAGAGAGAGAGAGAGAAGAGAGAGAGAGAGAGAGAGAGAGAGAGAGAGAGAGGAGAGAAGAGAGAGAAGAGAGAGATGAGAAGAGAGAGAGAGAGAGAGAGAGAAGAGAGAGAGAGAAGAGAAGACGAGAGAGAGAGAGAGAGAGAGAATGAACAAATAGATAGAGAGATAAAATGAACATTCAACAGATTGATAGATAGAAGGAACAATAGATGATAGAAGGATAGATAGATACATAGACCAGGTAGAAACAACAGAAGGATATAATGAACTAAAGATGATAGATGGAAACTAACGTACAACAAATAGAATGACAGATAAATAGACAGACAGAACAAACGACAAAACAAACAACAGATGGATAGATGGAACACATGACAGACAGACAGGCAGGGAGAGAGAGACAGATAGATGATAGAATGAACGACAGGTGATAGATGGAACAAATGACAGACAGACAAAGACAGATAGCTGAACGAAAGACAGAACGAATGACAAATGCATAATATAGAACAAAATGAACAGACAGACAGACAGATAGAGAGATAGAGAGATAAACAGACACACAGACTGATATGAGCCAGGAAGAATTTCTCCAAATCATTGCTGTAGGTATTGGACCATAATGAGCAATGGAAGGGCTAGGAGTTCGAACATTTTTTGGACACCGCCATGGCAGAGAAACCTTGAGCAATTTTTTGTTGATTCAACAATTTTGGTTAATGGGTACCACATCTATTCCACAGCCTATAATTACAACAGTTCAGTTTCCAATCTCAGCTCCGCATGCTGGGATGCCTCACAAGTCCTCACAGTAGTCGCCAATTTTCCGCCCATTTTCTTGGATCGTGCCCTCATCCCATTCCACTGAACATGTTAAAAAACACAGCGTTTAGATAAGCCCTTGCATTTACAGACAAGGTGACCTAGATGATGTCATCCCTCCCATACCACAACCTCTTGTCAGCCCGCCTGCTTTACCCAGCCAAAGGGATTGGATTGTGGGAAAATATAGTCTAGCTGCCACTGGCACAATGGCTCCGTTTTCCTCCATTCCCCTCCTCAAAACGTACAGATTTGACAGGAGGTGACTTGCATTTGGAGATCAGGAAACGGGCAAAATCCTTTTCGGGGCCATCAGAAATATCTGGGCTGAACCTAATTGTGTCAGGGTGTTTCACATGGTTCTCGCCTACACCCTTTCCACAACTGGGTGCATCCTACCAAGCCTACCATGTCCTGTCAATGAGCATTCAGTATGAAGATAAGACATGGAAATTTTATGCTTTTCACTGTGAAAACATGCCCTTGATGGCTACACTGATGGGCTGTTTTAGTCTTTTAACAGAGAGAGCCACCTAATCAAGTTGATAAATCCAAAAAGAGCCAAAATCCCACGGCGTTTCACAGAGCGATCAAGCAAAGCTTTAAGAATCTGTCAGCCCATTTCACTTCATTTCCCAGACTTCCTGGTGCAAAAAAAAAGATGGCTGTCTGAGTGATCATCCACAAATGCACATTTCCTTTTAGGAGATGATGGCTGCAGCCGGTTTCTGCAAAAGACTGATGAGGTAATGAGACGTGGTTGGACAGTATTTTCCAGTGATTTTTCTGCTGAACTGTGTGTAAAAGGACCATTTCATTATATTGATGATGACAATTCAAATTTGGGTTAAATGACAGTTCATAAATAAAAAGCTCAGTTTAACAATTTTAAGCTTAAAAAAACATTTACCCAGTAGATTTCATAAAG